AGGAATATATAAGCTAGCCATGACAGGAAGATGACAGGATTCCGTGCGTGATACAATGTTGAAATTACAGCATACGTCAAACAACCCAGATGAACAGATTATGTCATCTATGACGCTAGCACCTTGATTGCCAATAAACGTATAGTCTCAAAATTCTGAGTCTAACCCACATCTTCCATTCATTATATGTATATTTAAGACACTGCATAAATTTATCAAACTTTTTCCAAAGTTGTTTAACACAGTATCTGCTGACGCTCGTACCATGTTAAAATGGTCGAGTAGAAAACTTTACACGGAAGAATTATCATTTTCTAAATATTCAAGAATATCATCTTCAACAAAATCCGGCTCAGTACCTGTGCGTGCATTGAAATCCCCACCTAACATAATATAATAGTTGCCGCAGTGAGAAAGAACATCTAGTAGCTCCTCTTGCAACAATAGCACACCGTTACTACAGTCAGGTGATAACGTACTGTACCAGCGTGACGATTCTGGGTGAATATACACACATGAGTACACTACATCCTTATCTGTATTGAACATGGTTTTGTCTAATAACACAAATATTCCACTTTTACGGATTTTTGTCTATTTCACAGAATTCTCAAACTTTTTTCTAATAAGAATTACTATTCCACCTGAAAGGCGGCCGAATTGAGATATTTTTTCTCCATGTTTTGTTATAACCTTAAAGTCTGGAAATATGGATAGTAAGTCAATCTCTTTGGACCAGGATTCTGTCAATCCAATGATGTCGCATTTACATATAAAGCTTACAAAGTCACGATCCTGTAATTTAGCCATCAGCCCTGATACATTCCAAACTAAAAATTGTACATCACTGTTGATAGTACTGTGGGGTACACGTGTTTGAAGCACCCGTAAATTGTCATGGCCCTGGCCACACCCCCATCTCACAGCCTTCCGACCAGGGGTCTGGGAGCGAGTGGTTGACCTAAGATAACGTCTCCTTCGCTCCCCGCTCCCAGAGTCATCCTGTGTTGTCCGTGTGTCTCTCCTGTCACCTTGTCTAATGCTTATGTCTCTACCTTGACTCTGCTGTGTGTTGTCATTTCCTTTTTCGCGTCTAATATCCTCTACAATTTTGCCTCCTTTATAGAAAAATCTTTTAGTCGGATTTTCAGTTCGTAATTTATTGAGTTCTTGTCTTTGATTATATGTCAAGTCATTTGCTACGCCATATCCCATGTCTCTAAGGGTTTCTCTTAATCGGATAGTGTGCATCTTGTCCTCCCAATGACACATTTTTACAATCAGTGGGCGTGGTTTATGGTCACTTTTTGAAGAGATGCTGTGGGCCCGTTCAATGTCTCTATGTTGTAGTGGCGCTTTCTCGACCTTGGCTCTAGCCCTGTTAATTACGTCTATTGCTTTCACTCTACAAGTACTGTAGGACTCATCCCCACTCTCGGGCACGTCGTAGAGGATAATATTATTCCTTCTACTTTGTCTCTCTTGGCTTTCGACTCTTGATTCCAACTCACTGATGCCATCCAAATAACTCTCCATGTCTTCTACTCTATTATTCATAGAATCTATATCAAGTCTTAGGATCGCTTGTTCTTCTTTCTGGTGATCGATCTCGTTTTTAATAACACGTACCTCTTCTTTGATCGACTGTATTTCCTCTTTCACTGAAGTAATATCTTTTGATATCTTGTTTTCCGAGTCTTTAATCTGCTGTATGATTGCTGCTTTAAGATCAGATAAGTCGTCACCGATAGGTCCAGGGTTGAGCTCGATGTCACCTGCTAAGAGGAGTAGGCTAACCACCGGGTATCTCCAATGGTCGTGTGTGTGGTTCAGTTTTCGTGGTGTAAACAAAGTTCCCTTTTCAAAGTAATTTATGCAAATCTCACCTCACCAGCACAACAGCGGTTGGTGGTCCATCGTAGTTAGAGTGTAATCCATCGTAGATCCAGTGACTGATCCAAAGGTCCACAATGTAAGTAGAAGTGTGGTACACAGCACAATCCGGTACGCCATTGCTGTCCCGCCCCTCCACTGTGAGTGTGGGGAGTATGGCAACACTTTCTCAACTTGTTTGCAGCCTTTCGGGGGAACGAAAGTTCCGATACGTGCTCTCCATAACTGTAGGGGTATTCCCATTTTTAGTGGAGTGGTATGATTTAGCCGGTCTTCATATATACTAAGGATTATGTTATTTTTCTTTGGAGCTGTCGAGCATGCACCCAGCCACCCAGGGGAGGTAATTACCCTCATATAAACAATAGAAGGGAACCAAACATTACGGTCCTCAGTAACAATTAACATTTGTCAAATGTGAGACGAATTCGTTGGCATGATCAGCTTCTATCAAAGGCACGGGTGTTAGCAGGGAGTTTATAAGTTTTATATATTCCCTGAATTTAAAATATGGTGCGGGATTCTGCGGGCTAAACACAGAGGTATCGTAACACCATAAGTCTGACAGTGTAAATGTAGTATGCGTTGTACGTGTGGGGACATGCCCCTGAGACAGAGAGCGGCTGGGCTGGCCTACGCCTCCGCGATACTGGACACTGAAGTCCCATATTCATAATCATTACTCTTATCGGACGTCAGGCTGTGAAGACCACTCTCTCTGTCTGGTGTTGAAACCAGGCTGTGGTTTGTGTGGTGAGGCGAAATAGGGTTTAACGTCGCGTTCAAGATTATTGCACTTATATTACGACATGCATGCACGTGTTTATGTGTGACTGCTTGTACTAGTCCGGACTAATGGCAAGTTTATAGTGCTGTCCCACTGATATACCATGCCGCAGTTTAACATGAATACCCCATTCTGACACAATATACAGACTCCGAGCCGACCAGTCCTTGTTTTAGCCTCTTAATGCCGAGCGCCAGACAGGGTAACAAAAAGTACCATCTTTTAGCATCTTTTGGTTTGATGCTGCCGGGATTAAAGCCCCGACCTTTCGCTCTCCTGGCGGACGCTCACTGTTGTTTGTGTGCATCTTTAATAACGACATGTACGTTCACAGTTCTTGTCAACAATATGATAATTACAAAACTAACTGTTTGGGTCTTTTTAGAAGATGTTATGATAGTTTTAGTGGCACATACGTATGGCATGTACAATATGTCGAGGGCGGTATAAGGGAGGCAACTCTCGTGAAGCTGCTGTCACGATTGTGAGGCCCCATTGAAGTATGCTTTTTGTTGTGTTTGTTGTTTAACGCCGCATTCCACACACTATATTTATGTGTGTGTAGCAGGTGTGCTTCGCTGAATAAGGTGGCAACACGGCCACGGGTGTGAATTCCGTTTATTTGATGACTTGGTAATAACCAAGTAGTGTGGTTTATATTTTACAACACTAAATTAGAACATCATTCCCACAGTGTAAAATATAACAAATAAATGACACTTCATTTTATATATATAAAGATAGTTCTTACCGCCATAAGAATATTAATTACTTTGAAACAAGCAATAAAATCATTGCTGCATGTAACTATACAACACTGGCAGTACCATACATCAGTAAAATAGGTAGACGTTGGTCCTCTACCGGATATTTCTGGTATTGAGAACCCAAGTCCGTCTTTGGGTCCACAACGTCTTATATAACTACATAGTAGTACAACAATGGCCAGGCAGCATCTCGGAGGCGTACGAGGCCAACCTGCCAAGCCGCTGTCCGAGGGTCAAGTCCCGACTCACAGAAAGCGTACTATCTTTAACCCTCACTGTCAGACTGCCATGTATCGTGTTACGTTACATATAATGGTCAGCCTGCAGTATCCTGCGTCTCATCCACAATGTTAAGCTTCAGTGGCCAACCGGCCATTCTCACGTGTTAATTACAAGCCGCTGACCCACACTTGACCCTGTGGTGCTGGCCATGATAATGATAGCCCAGCTGCTGTTTTAATTTGTATTGGCAGCACTGTGAATATTTAAAGAGATATAATCAACTTAAGTAACTGAGGGAATATATAAAACGTATATAGACTCCCTGTTAAAACATATACCCTGCCAAACTGTCAATGATATTAGCTTCAAATGACAGCAATAAGGATAGACCAACTTGAATCACATTATTCAGATATAGAGACTGTGCATATCAAAGACATATCTAAACACTTCTTACTGCGTGTACAACGTAAATATAATCAACAGACACACCTAAGTGGCATATGTTTACATGTAATGCTAAACAAACATACTAAAATACTGGCCTCCAGGCGTAGGTAATATGTCAAATTTCCACACCTGCATTGCCAGGGCTAACTAGTGATATCAACATACCTACAAACATGGAAATTCGCTAATGATGCTAAATGTACAATAGAACCTACTTCCCTACAAAATGCTCTAACACGTGTGGACCATATTATCACATCAGTGCTACTTTAAATTATACAAGTTTTCAGATCTAAATATAGCACTATCATAACAAAAGAAAAATACCAAACATCATGGTATTATTATTATAAATGTCCACATATTTACAATGTATTTACCATATGCATGATATGCATGCTTTAGAAACATTATCCGATAAGGTAAGAGTTTCTTTAGACACCCCCTCCCCTGTTTTTACATTACCAATGCACTATTAGGTTTACAGTAAACAAAAGTTGGGGTGACAAAGGCATCTCTTTCCTATACCTATTTATATAATCATATCACTGGCTGTCGTCTGTCAGTTACTTACCAGTGTAGTGACTTAGGTGGAAGTGAGGGTTAAAAGCAACAAAGCTAACGTTAGGTGAACGAGAGAGTCACTGAACCGGAATAGTTCCCTGGCGTATACAATGTGGCTGGTAGGGTAGGGACTGACTCAAGAATAACCAACTTAAAATCTTAAAGGTGTAGTATCACCTCTTCATTAAAATCCTTGAAACCCATACTGCAAACTAATACTAATAACTAAGTGCTAATATTACTAATCTATCGTGTGTGGTCAGCTCGGGATTTGGGGGTTAGTTTTAGGGGATTTGAGTGGCTGACGTAGTACCTACCTTTGTATTCCTTGTTATAGTAGCTTATGCCCACGCGGGCGTAGTGGCTCGGGAGACATGACGATGTAACGCTCTTTGCATGCTCGGCTAGGCGGAAGCCATGACTGTGAGAGCCGAGATGTAAGGAGCGTGTTCATTGGTTGTATCCGTTTTCTTGGTGTGGGGTAAATAAGCCTACGCATGGGTCGTGGTAGATCGCCAGAGCAAAATCAGTCGCAGCAAAGTCGATGGTCATGTTCAAAACTTCTGACCAGCGATTCATAATCGTAAGAGGTCGCAGACAGATCTTACATGGTCGTACCGCCAGTCGTGCATGGACGCACCACCAGTTGTGCCTAATCGCGGGTCAACAAGATGCACGATTGGTCGTGCAACTGGTCCTACTACCTGACGATTGGTGGTATCACCTGTCGTGCGACCAGCCACGACCTGTCCCGACTGGTTGCACGACATAACGATTGGTGGTACCACCAGTCTTTAGTTCGCAGATTGGTATAGTTGGAGTGGGTCTGGGGTTCACACCCCAAGACAGCATTTCGCTATGGCGGAGGAACCAGTGTTGCCGAGAAGACTTCAACTGACGCGGATGACAGTTGGCTCTGATCGATTGTGCGAACGGTCGCAGGTCGCCACGATTGATCGTACGATCGTTCGCTGATCGTCACGAATGGTCGTACGATCGGTTGCTGATCGCTACCGCTAGTCGAACGATTACCTACGATTGAATTTGTGATCGATCTTCTCCAATTGTTGGTGATCGCACGACCACGCATACCACCAATCATACGAGAACCTACCACCAATCACAGTATGCGTTCACAAATGGAGATCGTAGCAAACATTGCCGATTGGTCGTACCTCGGCGAAATTGCCAGCAATCGCACGATCCAGAAATCGTACGATCCGGTGTGATTGTGGCTTTATGGTTAGATATGGGTGGGAGAGAATGAACATAGGAATATAATGGGTTAATTTAAGGATATTTTATTTTACCGGAGTTAGAGAGGTGTTTGTAACATATAAAGTAGTATAGGTAATAGGGGTTCTGGACCACTTCCTCTGGAGCCAGATTTATATACCTATACCACCACTACAGATGGAATTTTTTATGTCAAAACGCTGATGCGAGTTAAATTGGCTTAAGCTCACCACTACCTTGAGCCAATCAATGATACCATTAGTATAAAAACAATGATGAGACTAAACTAAATTGTAATGAAAATTTTCTATTATTTTTACTAATACGTATACAATTATTTTTAACAAAGTGATACTCAACATTCTTCGTTCATTTTACTAGGAGACCAGACTATATACTCTTCTTGGTAATAGGAAAGAAACAATTGATGACCGTATTTGGTTGGTTTGACATCACAAATATAATATATACCTTGTGGTAATTCTCTCCATTTGATAATTTTGTCCCTGAGCATAAATGTTTCAATAGCTTTTTCGAGTTCTTCCTTTGTTGGTTTGTAATTCTCCATTATTATATACTTATGTAAGCATTCTTCTAAATGTGATCTAATGATAGGAAGCAATCTATTTTTAATCTCCAACCAGTTGTTTGGTTTTGACGCGCTTGTTGTCTCCCCTGTTCTATAAACTTTTTTTATCGTCTTCACTAATACCACTGGTCTTACGAGAATTGGATCGAATGTCTTGCTTCATTACATTGTATTTGGTGAGTTCCGACAACACTAAACGAAACTCCTCCTCGGATATCTTACAATCAGCCATTGCTGTTGAAATATGATCCTGTTCAACTTTGCTTCGGCGAGTATCCGAATATTATCGTGTTTTAATGCTTTCTTTTGCAACCTACGAGAAATGAATGCTGAGTGCTGAGACTCCAGCCGCTATTTCCATGCCAAGTACGATAGGCATGGCTATTATAGTTGATAATAAACCAACACCGGCTACACCGAGTCCAATGCCAGCTGTCACAAGTGCAGATACTTTTTTATAAAATCCAAGTCTAAACTCCCTCTCCTTCTCTATTCGATGTTTTATGTCGCTTATTTGATGTAATCTTAAACGATCATCAGTATCCATCTTTTCATCGAGCGCCGGATATAAACTCATAGTGTATATTATTATATCATATAATAGTCTTTAATTGGTCTTGTTTAAATGTTTTGAGAGTATACATCAACCTTATCAAATGTATATTATACGGCAAGAATATCTTAGTAAGAGAAATGCTGTCACTTTTAATAATTTGGACCCCCCTCAAGGGTTGCAACGGGTGATGCTCCAATATGAATAATACTACAACGTCCACGCTCATGTTTCTTGAGCCATTTAATCGATAGTCCTGGTAATATTTTGAAGGCATCTTCCGGTGCATCTCCAAATAAGATTTCAATAACAAGCATAGAAATATTAGGTATTGCACTCAAGTTCTGTTTAATATCATTGAATTCAGTAACCAAATTTAAACTAACATTTTTTACTGCTGGACGACTATATAACATATGACCTGGGTTTTCTGGCAGGGAAGAGACTAACACACTTTTTCGTTTTGATGGGATATAAGCCCTGAGTACGATCCCACTATTTATTATCTTAGTTAAATTATGTGCCTTACCCATCATCACATACGGTGGGGTAATGACGATATTCAGTAGCCACTCGATGTTTGCTTCGACCATAGTCCATTTATTATCATCGTTGTAATTAAGATTGTACGCAGTGTTTTTTAGGAGTCTACTAACGTCGACATCGCTTAAATCTCCTAGATTACCTGTGAATGTAACTTCTTTCTGCTTGTATACATTATCTTGTAAGTGTAAAGCGTATAACTCACCATCGGTACTGGGTTTACCGAATCCTTCTGTGTCTCCGAGATCGGAAAGGGCAATTGTATTACATTGTCTGAGTGTTCCAGGGCCTGATGAATCAACCATTATTTATAATATGGAGTGTTACACTTAAGTATCCTATATGTACAGGTTGGTGTTTTACATCTAATACAGAAATTATGAGGTCTGAAATAATACCACGCTTTAAATTTTTATATTGTAATGATGAGAAAGAGTCCGTTCTACCGCTATTGTATTTTTCATCTTTCACTGGAATAGATCTGAGTAGAGTTGAAGGACTTTCTAGTTGAATATTATCCGTCGTACTGATTTGATCAAGATGGATGCACAACTCTTTATAGGGAACTAAATCGGGTAATTTAACTCCATGCAGTGTTTGGTTGGATTGTATAAACCCTTTCTTTTAAGTTCGTAAAAAAAGCTATTGTCTTTTCTCCAGGGTCTAATTTCAGCATCCCATTCGACTCATTTTGTGTGAGACTAACTCCATTAGGCTTAAAAATTTCAGCATTGAGGGAGCATACGCTGTAATACCCATCAGGTATAGTAATGGGTTTGCCAATACCTGATATTAAAATCATATTATTACCTCTCACAGCATTTATATTTGTCCACCTCGGGTAATACGTTACATCGCATAGGGCGACTTCAAGTTAACCATCCGAGTTATCGATAGTATGAAGCAGTTGAATAGACTGACCATTTGTTATTCCCGGGAGTGTGACATACATATTAAATATACAAAGATACTATATCATAACTTAAATATGAAATCAACCATTATTTATAATATGGAGTGTTACACTTAAGTATCCTATATGTACAGGTTGGTGTTTTACATCTAATACAGAAATTTTGAGGTCTGAAATAATACCACACTTCAATTTTTTATATTGTAATGATGAGAAAGATTCCGTTCTACCACTATTATATTTTCCATCTTTGACTGGAATAGATCTGAGTAGAGTTGAAGGACTTTCAAGTTGAATATTATCCGTCGTGCTTATCTGATCAAGATGGATGCACAACTCTTTATAGGGAACTAAATCGGGTAATTTAACTCCCTGTGCTGATGTCTTGATTACTGTTATATCTCCGAGTGCAAATCCAAGTGTAACTGCTAAGTTCATGAAAAGCTTTACATCCTTGTCTCCAGCTTTTAAAATCAGCATCCCATTCGACTCATTTTGTGTGAGACTAACTCCCAAAGGCTTTAAAAAATCATCATTGAGTGAGCATATGCTGTAATACCCATCAGGTATAATGTGTCGTTTTCTAATTATCATTATCTGATTATTACCTCTCACAGCATTTATATTGATCCACCGCGGGTAATACTTTACACCGCATAGGGCGACTTCAAGTTGACCATCCGAATTATCGATGGTATGAAGCAGTTCAATAGACTGGCCATTTGTTATTCCCGGGAGTGTAACATACATATTAAATATACAATGATACTATATCATAACTTAAATCTGAAATCACCTTATATTACTAATCAGTCGATTTTAGTAAGTGCCTCTGGTGCCAATTTTTGTTGTTGAATTCCCTGATATCTTTGAAAAATGCAGGTTCACGGCAACTAGTGATAAAATGGTGCACGATTGGTTTCACAATCAAATGCAATTTTGGCAGAATCAGTTAAACTTTGCCATATGGTGTGCAACAACTGGATGTGGTGTATCTCTTTATGCCCAAGTCTGTTTTATCCTTTCACGTGTACTATCAGATTAGACGTATACTTACAGAAATTAGTGCTCCATTACCGCAGGATCGACCATGGAATGCATCAAATAATCCGTACAATAGGTTCGCGTATGAACGTATTTGTCAGGAATTTAATATTTCTACGAGAAAAGATTGGCGAATTAAAGGAATTAACCATGGTCTAGGTGTTCCGTACAGCGGAAAAAGAACTGTTAAAGAAGAAAGCGATGATTTAGTTAAAAAAACTCATCAACCATTCGATCCATTTAAGTTGTTACAGAAAAATAATCTTTTTGTAAGATTGCATAATCTTAATCATGGCTGGGAACTTTCGAGTTTCTCTTATGAGTTTTAAGGGTGGTTTGGCTTATATTGTTACAAAATTTGTACAACTGAACGATACCGCAAACGCTCGGAATGAATTTCTTAATGATAAAACAGAAAATAATTTTACTAACCCAGGAGTTGTAAGTGTTAATGAATCAATAAGAACTTATGTATGGGCAACTCTCGGTGCACAATCGCAAACACGTACGTCCATTATTGGTTCTGGGACGGCGCTCGATGCACAAAAAAAGTTTGTCACAAATGTGGAGGATGCTATTAATTCACCAGTTGACATACCATCTTCTATAAAACGTTATCAAGATGTATTACAGTACGCTCAATCCAAAGTGGACTATGTTTATGCGCCGGGACTATACATGTCTCCGAGTAATATGGAACTTAAGATCGGTCAAGTGATAGGCTATAATAATAAAACTTTTATTGCTACCGATCAACAAAAACCAGGTATAAACTCAGATATGAACACCGAATTAAACGCAAACAAACACAGGCGAAACGGGAATAGTCAAGCCACAGACACCACAACCATCTTCTAATGCACAACCACAAGTGCCACCGCATATTGCGACTAAAAATCAACAACAT